AGAGCAGTGTCAAACCTTTGGCATCTGTCCCTCCACGGCGCTCCCCAGCATGAGGCACAGGCGTTTATTGTTCTCACTGAGCTTAGCAAACTCAGCCAAGGACAACATTTTTGCTCCAAAAAAACTGCAGCTGCTCTGGGACCAGGGGAGCAGGTACCACGGGTGCTGCCCTCCTCCTCCCCCTGTCAGAGCCCTCCCCAGGGGCCCGGCACAGCTCCAGCCAGGAAGGGGTGATGTCACCACACTGTGAGGGTTAGACCCTCTGCACAGACTGGGGTGACAGTGACTTTGAAACATGTAGACAGTGCTTGTCCCCACAGGGCTGCAGAAAGAGTCTGATGCTTCAGACATGCAAAGATTTGGGGGATTCCCATGGCCCAATAGCCTAAGTCCTGCAATAATTGCAATGATGAGAAAGGGGAAGATTTTTGGAAGTTGCAAGATCGGGGAATCTATCAGGAAGAGCTGGGAGGCATCACCACACCCTGTCCAGGGAGGACCAGGCACCACTTGGGTGTGGGTTGGGTGCACATCTTGCACACTGGCAGCTTTGTGACCCTGTTCCTGCCTGAAGGGGCAAGGGGAGGGAGGGTGAGATGAAGGGATCGGATATAGTGGCACTACTGGATGTCCCCCTCCAGGTCCTTCTGTCTGGAGGCACCATCCCTTCCTGTGGCTGGGGCAGCAGCATCTCTGCAGGGCAGGAGGAGAGGAGACAGAGGCAGAAACAAGGCCCTGGGGAGCAAAGGGCACCTCTGACAGCAAGAGGACACGGCGCGATCTTTGTGCTTTTCCGGGCCGCAGTGTCTGGCAGCTCCTCCGCGGCCGCTGTGCTCATCGATCCCGGGCTCCTCCTGCTCACCCAGCCTGGCACACTGGCACTGCTGATCTTATCCACAGCGTGAGGCAACCCACGGGCATAAGGGAGTTCTCTCCCCTCCTGTTGCATTCCCTGTAGGACTTGGCAGCCAGGCAGCGACAGAGCAAGAGAGTGACAAGAACAGGCGTGCACCGAGGCAGCTGTAGTGCCAGCACAGCCAGACTGGCTCGATGGGGCTGCTGGGACATGAGGGCTGATGTTCTAGGAAAAAGGCAGGTGGTGTGGCTTCATTTGGGCAGCAGGAGCCAGTTCACAAGGCTGCACACAAGGACTCAGGAAGGTTCACCTAAGCCCCAAAAATGAAAGTCCCTCATCATGCTGCTGATTCACCTTCCCGGTGGGGAGAGCTTGGGGAGAACTTGGGAAGGGATGGCCAGCACTGCAATGCTGCTGCTCCTCTGCCTTCTGGGAGCTTGTTTTAGGGAACCTGTGCATAGAGAGGTACTGTGCAGAGCAGAGCACTCCCTGCACACCACCAGCTCGAGCTGCTTCTTGCTGTGTCGCTACCGGCTTTCCTGGGCACCTGGAGAGACCACCCCTCACCCCTCCAGAGCACCCCTCACTGGGCCCTTAACCCGGCTACACATGCCATAAGGCAGTTCCCAGAAAGCCTTGGGCTCTGCCTTGGGCACAGCTTGCCCAGGCAGTGGGGCCCCAGTGCAGAGTGTCTGCACAGAGCCATGCAGATGCAGCAGTGGGAGGGTTAGGAGGCCAGCACAGATAGGAAGGATGCAGCCGGAAGCACTTAGATTAGTCCCAGCAAACACATTCAGAAAATATGGCTTTTTAGTTAATGGGGTCAAGAGGGAGAACGCCCTGGCTGATCTGTACGGGGTTAAAATAAGTCCAGGGGAGTGTGCACCCCTCGCCAGAACTGGCTCTGCTGCAGCAAGTGCAGCAGGCACATCTCACCCATCCACCACTCACCCCCCCACCTGCTGCAAGGTGCATTTGCAACATCACTTTCTTAGACAGCATTAGCAATAATAATAATATTAATAATAATAATAATAACTATAATGATGAAAAGAGAGATTAGCAAACCCAACGCATCAAATCCATGAGCCTTGGCAGAGCTGCAGAATAAAAGGGGGAGCAGAGGAGAGGAGCCCGGCTGTTAGTCTGTAGACAGCTCTCAGCACGTGATGGTTTACACACAAGACGTTGTTTAACAACCGAGTGTTATTGCTATGCTTCCATTTCCAGTCTAATCATTAAGCTTTACAAATCACCATCAAACACTGCCCGTTCCATACAGAGCACGTAGGTGTTGGTGGTTGCACTCCTCGGTCTGTGCTCTCAGGTGTGTGGCGCAGGTCAAAGCTGTGTGCACCCTTTGGATTCCCAAGGAGTCCAGAGCACAGACTAAATGCACCTACAGATCGCTGTTACACCCTGCAGGCCAAGGGCTCACTTACAGTGTGAGTGGGGGCGGGTCTGTTTGAGTCCCCAGCCCAAGGAGGGGAGGGCAGGCCCTGCCTGTGCTCCAGCAGCTCCTGGACTCGGAGTATCTCCAGCAGCCTTCTCAGTAAAAAATAGGAATGCTGTCTTTTTGATTTTTTTTTTCATAATTTTGACCTCTTTGATCATTTTATATAAATACAAAGATTAAAATAATTTATCTCAACATAATTTCTATTACAATCATACAGTGTATTCCCTTCAAAACAAGTGCCTGTATGTGTATTTATATATATATATATATATAAGTGTATATATAGTATCTCTAGAGCTATCCTCTCCCCCAGAAAAGCAGCAGTGACTGAAGCAGGCACAGCACGCAGGAGCTCATCCTTCCTGCTCTGAGGCAAATGTACTCAGGGAAAAGCACAGGGCTCACCCTGACAACTCATTTCCAAGCACATTACATTGGAGGGAAGGGGGAATTGGGGTGCTCCCTCTTCATCCCCTTGGGAAACACTCCCCTTGCTGCAGGTGGCTCTGGGGCTCCAGACCTGCCCAGCTGCCCACCCGCACCGGGAGCACTGGGAGGAGGAAGAGACACCAGAGGACTGGGAATGAGATCAACTCCTTGAGCAAGCTGCTAATTAGTGGTGGAGAGGAAAGGATCCTGCAGCTCAGATAGGGTTGCTTCATTTACATACTAGGCACTATGGATGATGATTGTTAGGAAGGTATTTACATAGAAGAAGGATCATACCTCTCCCTCCCCTTTTCAATGCTTGGGTCAGTCATGAACTCCATGATCTCATCAAGGAGTTGGTAATAAAAATGCATCATGTTGTGTCTATTGGGATTGTCTAGGAAGGACGGGAGAAGCAGCTGTGTGCACCACAGCTGCAGGAACAGCTGAGCACGCAGGGACACTCACTGGCCTCTTTCACCTTAACAGAGAGACAAATCCTCAGCAGAACCTCTCAGAACCTGAGAGAAACAGCAGTTTCCAGAGGCCAAGGGCACCTCACGGGAATGAGGTGCCCAGGCAGCCCGGGCACACAGTGCTGTGCCAGGGCGTGTGAGTGCCCTGGACGTGCTCTGTGCAGCCTCCTGCAGGGGTGACAATCTGGGAGGCAGGTGGGGGCTGGTGGGGGCTCTGTGCTCCTGAGGCAGCAGTTCCAGACACGTCAGGGGCTTCAAAATTTTCCTGCTAGAACTTTTGTGCCCCAGGAGCTGCACACCTTGGCTGGCCTTCAGCCAGGGCGGCTGCTGCCTGGGTCCTGCACGGGGGTCCTGTCCAGCGTGGCTTTGCTGCGCTTCTTCCCAAACCCAGGGCTGTGTTAGGGACCATGGGAGCAGCTGGAGAGTGCAGGGGCCAAGCCCTCAGAGGTGTCCTGGGGGAACAAGAGGGGTCTTGCCCTCCAAAGCCTGACTATTCACATTACAGCCAAAGAAAATGTACAAAAGCTGCTAATTTCTGCCCTGCTAGTGCAGCTCACATGCTTCGGGGTTCGTTTTTACCAAAGAGCTGGCCTGGGGACTGCTGCTGCAAATCTCATAAAAGCATTTTAATAGAGTATATAAATATTGAACTACAAAAATAGACAGCTCTGACTGTACGGGCACACTGTGGCTGAGCGGGGGCAGGCCAAGCCTCACTAGTCTATGATGGTGACGTCTTTGAAGAGGTTTCAAACTGAACTGGAAGGAAATGGGGTCTGATGGCCCCCTGCAGCTCCTTCCTGCCTGCGCCAGCCCTGGAGGCAGTGAGGGTCCTGTGGGAGGCTGCTGCCCACCAGGCAGGCAGGGCACTGGGCATTGCTGCCCCAGCACAGCTGGGCCAGCCAGGGCTGGCAGCCCGTGTGCTGGGGCAAAACCTGCCCCTCGGATTGCCCCGAGCAGCACAGGCCCTGTGGGTGCCCAAGCAGTGAGACCTTTGCCCTGCCTGGCCGCTGCAGCCCTCCCCTCCTAAGGGTGTTTCACAACACCCAGGGAACGGATTGTAAAGCTGAGGGTTTGGCTGCAGATCGGGCAAGGCTGCCCCAGCAGGGGGAAGGCAGCTGCCCATGACTGCTGTGCTGGGACGGACGGGAGGCGTCGAGGGAGGACAGGGAGGCAGCTCAGCCCTCAGCGGCAACCCCAGACCTGGCTGTTAGATGTGCCTAAGAACCGAAATGCTGGTGCCGAGAGCCCTGTGCGGGGGGCACAGCCCTGCTCCAGCAGCACATGGAGCCCGGCTGTGGCGGGCAAGGAGCCGTGGGGGGACTGGGGGGACTGGTGCTCCCAGCTCTTGTCCAGCCACCTTGTCTGAGTCTTGTGTGTGAATGTAACGTGGGGGAAATCCATGTGGAGACAGAGTTCAGAGACAGCCAAACCGCTGCACAGGAGAGTGCAGGATGGGAGCTGGCTGGCACGGCGGCACCGTCCCTGTGAAACGGGATCCTTCTGTCACCCACAGGATGGACTGTTGTTCAGCTGCCTACATCCTGGAGAACCTTCCTGATGATGTCCTGGGCCCTCTCCAGGCCAGCCCAGTGTTGGTGATGCCCAGGGTTGGAGGCCTGGCTGAGCTCATCCCACTGGGCCAAGCCACCCGCTGCACAGCCTGTTGCTGCTGCACACACACCTCCCAGCACCCCTGGCTGGGGAAAACACAGCTGGTGTCCACTCCGAGGGCAGCAGCAGCAGGAAGATCTCCTCATTGCAGAAATGCTTTCTTGCTTTTCTTTCTTTCTTTCTTTCTTTCTTTTCTTTCTTCCTTCCTCTCTCTCCTTCTTTCCTTGGAAGCTCTGGACAGGCACTGGACCATGTCCCCTCCACAGCCCAGGTGGTGGGTGCTCCCCTGTCCCGCCGGTGACACCCTCGGCTCAGACCCTTCAGGCAGAGGAGTCCCCCCGGTTGCCTGTGGGTGGGAGGTGCATGCAGGGCATCCGTTTTCTGTTGCCCCCTCACCCCCACCAGAGGATGGGGAAAAAGAACCTTGGCCGGTGCCCGCCCCAGTGCTGCCAGGCTCAGGCCTTCCCGGCCGGTCGGGCCACGCTGTCCCTCGCTGCCTATTCCTGGGCCCGGTGGGCACCGTGGGCACTGGCCCCCTGCCTCTTTCCGGGCTCGCCCGTGGCCGATCTGGCCCTGGCCACCGGGTCCTGCGGGGGCTGCCGTGGCGGCCTCTGCCCCCGGGCGGCGGTGCCGGTGGAGCCGCGGGGCTGGGCCGGGGGCTCCGGGGACGGGCGCTGCGGGGCGTGTGGCCGCGACGTGTAGAGGAAGAGGGCTGGGTCGGGCATGGCCTCGTGCTCCTCCTGCACGAGGTCCCTGGGGCGGCCGCCGTCCCCGGGCGGGCGCCGGGCAGGGGCCCTGTGGCCGCGACGCCGGGGCCTGCCCTCGGCCGGGGGCTGCTCGAGGGGCGGCCGCCCGCACGCCCGGGGGCCCGGCAGGCGCTGGGCCGTGGCGTGCAGCTGCAGGGAGAGGTAGGCGGCCGCCTCCGTCTGCTTCTGCAGCTCGGTGTCGAGGATGGTGACGCGGTGGCTCCGACGCTTCAGCTCCTCCAGGAACCGGCGCTCCTTGCTGCGGAGGCTGGAGCGCAGCGCAGCCACCAGCGTCTCCTTGTGCTGCAGCTCCTTGCGCAGCTCCAGGTTGTCCTTCTCCTTCTCCTGCAGCTGGGCCTCCATCGCCCGGCACTTCTCCTCTAGCTCCCGGTCCAGGACATCTGCGAGTCAAAGCACAGAGAGGGGTCAGGCAGCAGTGGCTCCGTCCGCTGCTCCTGCCGGGTGCGTGCTCCCAGTGTGGGTATGGCTATTGACCACTCCATGGTACCAGCATGTCCCACCAGTGCCATCGAGGCTGTGCGGGTTCTTGGAGCTGGGGCTCCAAAACTTCCCATGAGCCGCTGGAGCATGGGCTTGCTGCCAGCACAGGCACAGGAACCCTGTCAGCGCTGAGCCACGGTGCCGCTGGCACAGTGCCACGTGTAACACCCAAATGTGGGGTGACAGCAAAGGCAGTTTCAGTGGAGGATGTTGTTGCCATGGAACCTGCCATCTCTACCTTTAAATCAGAGTTTTAAAATTTCCCTAGGTAACTAAGTTTTCACCCTAAAAGTGACTCTGAGTGTGTGCAGAGGACATGGAGGCTTACATGGGCTGGGAGAGAAAAGGAAATGGTTCAGGGAAATCATCAGCTCGGCTTTGGCCTCAAGCCCTGGGACTCCACAGCCTGGTTAACAAGGATGGTGATGTTAATCCAGGATTACAGAAGAGCTGGGCTGTGCTCAGCAGAGGAGGAGCTGCCGTGCCAGGAGGGAGGACTGGGCTCTGGGGAACCCCATCCTGGCACAGGATGGTCAGGCAGCCAGGGAGATTCGCACCTTGGGTGGATGGGCTGAGCTCGGTGGGCAGCAGGAGGGCTGGGCTGGACTCCTGCCCCCAGCAGCCCCAGCCACCCACTCCGACACCCAGCCCCTGGCAGGGCGCTGGCTGGCACCCGCCCACACTCCCTGGCCTGCCCAGACCTGCTCCTGCCCTCTGCAATACTCTGCTTTTTACTACACGATTGGCAGTCCCTCACAGCCTCAGCTCCTAAGAGCTGCTGCAGAGGGAAAATGCTTTATAATGAGGTCCCAGGGAGGCAGTTGCATGCAGTAATTATTCCATGAATGGCATTAGAAGAGCAATCATTTGATGGCATGGTAAAGGAGGTGCTGCCCCATAAACGTGGCAAAATGATCGTGCTCTTTGTCAGCTCTAAAAGGCTAAAGGAGGGGCAGGGACCGTGGGTGGGACTCGCTGCGTTAAGGCTGATGACACCCTGATGGCACCTGGTGGGCTGGGCGCCAGATCCTTCACCATCAGAGAGCCCACTGGTGCACGGAAGGGCCCCTGGCTCCACGGGAGGAGCTGGGAGAGTAGAATCCCCCTGGAGCCAGCCATGGCACTGTGTAAGGGTGCCAAGGGCAAGGACCCCAACAGCCCCAGTGAAAGCAGCCTGCACCTACTCTGGCATGGCCAGCCCTGGTGCCGAGGACACAGCGGGGCTCAGTGCCAGGGACTGTGCCCAGGCAGCACCAGGGAGGAGTTTCAGCTTCATCCCTGGGATGGAGGAGGGAGAGGAACCAGGCTGCTCACAGAGCATCCTCTGCCAGCTGTGGGGTTCCTGGGCGACACCAGCATTTACTGTGCTGCCAGCAGCCTGTGATCTGCATGCTGCCTTCCCAGCCCTGCCCTCAGCCCCTCTGTCCCCTCAGACAAAGTCCATGTCCCCTCCCTGGGCAGCCCCAATGGGTCCCCTCCGGCCCAGGTTTTTCACCCCCACACGCTCCCCCTTCCCCTGTGCCCAGAGCTGTGCTCTTACCTTGCTGCCGGGCCTCCAGCTCTTTCATTTCCAGGTCATGGGTGAGCTCTGGAAGAGAAATGGAACAGGACTGAGGAGGGGCATCCCACCCATCCTGCACTCCCTGTGTCTTCCTCTGCTCCCTCAGGGGCACTGGACATTACTGAGGCTGCAGCGCTGCCTCTGCCAGGCCCATGTGGGAGCGTGGCCATCAGACTGAGCTAATTCTGGCAATTTATGTTATTAAGCAGCCTGGTGGCCAAGGCAGCATCCGTGGGTCCTATCCCACAGCAGAGTGGGAGGCTCCATTCCTCTGGCAATGTCTTTCTTTTTTCTAAGAGAGTTGCTAAACCATTTTCAGTGCTTTAAATCAGGGCAAAGAGCAGAGTAATGGACTGAAAATAGATCAAAGTGTAAGTTGCCACCCGAAGCATTTCATAATTTACTGCTCCAGGCTGATCGCTGCCTCTGTGTGTGACGCAAGCGGGACTGCCTCATCCCGGCACAGTGTGCTTGCAGAAGGATGCTGCCCTGCTCCATTGCAACGTGGAGCTTCCAAATCCCACGAGCTGCAGCCCCTCCCTGCCTGCTCAGCCCTGCCATGCTGCCTGCTCTCTGCCTGTAGCCTTAGTCCCAGGCTACAATACCAGCTCACAGAGGGCAGCTCAGGGACCTTCTGGAGTTCACTTTACCCTGCACACTCTTACAGACCGTCCCTTTTGAATTAATTATCCCAGCCCGCCCAACCACCAACAGCCCTGAGCAGAGGAGGAGAGGGGCAGCAGCAGCATTCATCTGTTTGGGGGCTTTTTTCCCCCCTGAAAATGAGTTCAAATGGTTAATCTTTGCCCTACATTCTTCTTTTAATCTGCTTGCATGCTGACTCTAATCCTCATCACTGCCATCCTCCTGAAACGGAACGCTTGGCTCAGGCTGCTCTGCCTGTTTTGGAAAACAAATCTGTAGTGAGAAGGCAGAAGTACCTGAGAACGTATTGCAGTTTCTGGAAAGCATTCAGTGTTCCCAACTGCCCCAGTGGGAATCAGTGGCCATTGTGCTATTTTTCTGAAGCTAAAATAATAGGTTTGGAATTTCAGATATATTCCACATGAAAACCAAAGCAGTTGCCTATTTCCAAAGACACCGCCCTGCTGAACTAGTGCAGGGATGACACACATACAGCCTGGGGTCTAAGCTTCTGTGCTGGAGCCATGGGGTCTGGTAGGGACCTGCCCCAGTACTATCTCTGTGATCCCTGAGGGGCAGATTAGAACCAGCTCTGTAGGAGGGAGAGCCCTTCCCACAGGGATGCCTCGAAGAGACCAAAGGAGCAGTGAAAAAGTCAGAAACAACAGTGCCAGGGCAGCAGGGCCACAGTCAGGAAGAACTGACAGACTGCCCCCACTCTTCTGCAAACAACCCCCCAGATAATGGCATTCAAATGTCAGCAAAGTCACCTTAAAACTACCCACGTGTTGCCCCCATCACTCTCGGCAGAACAGGCAGTGCAGAACCACACACCTCACCTCCAGGACAGGACCTCTCCAGTCAGACAGGGCTGTCCATGGGTCACACTGGGAAGGGGAGATCACTGATAACCAACTGTGCAGCAGGCTCATTTCATCCCCTGGGGGCAGACCCCCGCAGTCTGATTTAGGCAGGAAAACCCCACTGCCTTGCTTGTCTGGAGAGGCCATAAATGAAGCCATTAAAACAATGAAACAGAATAGCAAAAGCTCAGAAAGAGTGGGGAAAATAGCCAATTTTATCAGTGCAGACATGTCTTTGTTTCCCAGGAATCCATGAGGATGAGAGGCTGGAAGACAAGGCATAATTAGCTACAGCTGAATTATTGATGAGAGCAGTGGCACAAGTTGGAATGAGTTTCAGAGGTTGCAGGAGGCTGGGCAGCTGTCACTCCTGTGGGGATGGCTGGAGGGGACAGTGACACTGCTGCAGTGGGGCTGTGGGTGGGGGCCAGCAGCCACAGCCAGGCAGAGCCCCACGCCCCGTGCTGCAGTTTGGGGCTTGCCTTCCCTGCATCCTGCCCGGTGCCTGCGTGAGCACCCCGGGGTGCCAGCAGGAGCCTTCCTGCCCGACGTGCTCTGTGAGCAGGCAGCTCCCACACGCTGTGGCCCTCCCAGCGCTCACCTGAGCAGTGCTTCTGCAAGCGGAGGATCTCCAGGTGCAGGTCATGAAGCAGCTCCATCTGCTCCTTCTTTAGGAAAGCGATGTGCCGCTGCACGCTCTGGATCTGGTGCTCCAGGGACACCGTCTCCATCGTAACCAAATTCACGGTCCAGGCCTGTGGGGAGTGGAGACGGCTGGTGATCGAAGGTGCAGCAGCACACAGGGCTTGTGAGCCCCAGAGCCCTTGTGAGGGCCAGAGCCTGTGGGTGCAGGGTGGTGCCCGCTCTCCTCTATCCTTTCCACAGGGATGTGGCTGTGGGGGAAGCAGCCCTGCTTAGCTGATCCCCAGGGAATGGCCCCAGACCTCTCATCACCCACTGCCTGTGGGGCCAGGTCCCATCCTGCCTGCTCAGAGACTGCATGGGCAGAAAATGCTGCTGCGTGGACCCTGACATCGCAGCAGCCCTTTCTGTTCTGAATTTGGCCCCAGGAAATATTTTATCGCCGAGCAGGATGCATTTGGGACAGGATTGCTCCCCACCGTCCCCAGGTGGGAGCTGCACCAGAGATGATTTTGGCTCTCACTTGACAAGACACACATTACGCAGCAGCAACTGCAGCGAGCGATCCAGCACATGAAAAATACAATCTGCTCCGTCTAACCCGATCAGCGCTGTGTGGCGAGAGGAGTCGTGTTGTCTTCCAGGAGAAGAAATGTCTCCCCTGGTGACTTGCCTGGCAAACAAGAGCTGCTGGCGTCTGAGCTGGGCTGGGGGTCCAGCTCCACGTGTCATCAATGGCTTCAGCAAAGCAGCTGCGTGAGCCACCCACCTGTGCTGCTGCACAGAGAGATAAAAATAACCCCTGAAAGAACCATTAATCCTGGGAAATAACATTTAGTGGTGTGTGGAATCTGTCCTTGCTCCCCACACCCAGCCCAGCAGGAGGGAAGCTGCAGCTTGGCAGGTATAGGAATAAAAATGATCCAAATTGTGTTCTGCTCTGGTTGTCCCTACCAGAGGGGTCAGGCCCACCTGTGCCAGGGGCTGGGACTGGCCTGGCCCCTAGGAGGGCTCTACGTCCTCATGCCAGTGAAACAATTATGGGAGTTAACTGGCATCTGCAAGACACCAGGGATGCAAACCATACCATGGATACACCCTCCTGCCAGCCCTGGCTGCGATGGGCTGGGCTCTGGAGCAGCTTCTTGATGGGAGTTGTGGTACTTCATCTTGGGAAACATCAGAAAGTAGGTTGGCCAAAGCCCAGGGGACACATAGCGCTATTTTCAAGCACTTTGTTCTGTTTAGTTGAAATGTCTTCAGTAGAAATGGCTGCAAATTTTCCATTGAACTTTCCCTTCTCCCTCTAAGTAGGAAATTACTCTTTTTTTTAGCCAATGAAAATGTTTTCCTTTAAAAATAAATAGCTGATAAATATCAAGCTGTAAAGGAAGAAAAAATTGTTTTCAAAGAAAACAAATTTGGAATTGAGATCTATTTATTGTCTCTGACTTGGAAGCTGAAGAGTCTTCATAATTTACCTGTATATGGGATCAAAAGAAGTCTGTCTCCAAAATTGCTGTTGAGGAGAGAGCAGCTTGTTTTGTCTAGCCTTGAACCTCCCACCAGCACTAAGGGAGGCAGGGGCAGGACACAGGGGCAGGACCCAGGGGCAGGACCCAGGGGCAGGCAGGGCAGGACACAAACAGGCAGGGCAGGAGCTGCCTTCATTGGAAATGGGGGCAGTGCTGCAAACAGTAGTGCTGCTGCCCTAAAGCAGAGATGGGGAGAGCTCTCCTGGGGCTCTGGGGACCTGAGGCTGCTGCTGTTCACCACTTACAGCCCCATGGGTGACAGGAGGAGTGTGCTGTCCCCTCTGCAAGTCACACAGCTCTGCCTCACAGGTGGTGATGCAAGAGCCAGAGCTGATAATGAAGCTGCAGTCTCGTCCTGAGGTTTCAGTAGTATCAGTGAGGCATTGGAGTGTCCCTAATGTTATGAGGGCAGTGGATAAGTGCTTGCCTCACCAAGGTGCTGTTCACCTGTTACCCCAAAGGGTTTCAGAACCAACCTCTCAGCAGTTGGTACCTTCCCTGCATTGCTTCTAAAATCAAGTGGGCATTGCAGCAGCATCCTGAGCCTTTAGTTTGATGCACACCTTCAGTCCTTTCACACAGCACGATCCTTGGGCAGTGTTGGGAGTTAATAAAGATTGGCTGCTGTTGGCTGATTCAGCGCTTACAGGGCCAGTGCAGCTCCCATTTAGTAATGCCAAAGCTCCCCATGCCGAGGGCTTCAGAGCACCCACAGTGGTGATGAGCATGTCTGTGCAGTGAACTAGGGCAGAAACCTTCACCCTGTGCCACAGACATGAGAATCGAAGCAGTGACTGAAGCTGCCCCTCCCATCAGCTCCCCCTGCCCCAACTGGGCAAGTGTAGCTCCCAGAAGGATTCTTGTCCTGCAGTGAGGAGGAATGAGGTTGGATGCCCCTGCTCTGATCCCTGCCTTGCTGCTTACTTCTCTTTTCCAGACCAGTTCTAACTTGCCAAGGCAACTGGTGGTGGAAGCTCTCAGAGTGACCATGCACTCGGCGGCTTTGAGGAGTTAGATATTAGGTTACAACTCTAGAAAACAACGTCGTTCATAACAAAAGCCAAGGGTAAGCGATAGTTCTCTTTAGCTTGAAGGATACTCTGTGCCCTTGTGCTTCTGAGAGTTGTACATGTACACACACAGAAGGAAAGGAGGCAGCAATCAGCTGAGTGGTGGGGTTTGCCCCTATTCAAAGTTGACACCTACAGCCTGAGCTGGCCCCTGCTCAGCTCGGGCTGAACAGCTCTCCCCAGTTTTGGAGACCAGACATCCAGGGAGCTTTGATCCATCACTGAGAGCTTTCCAGAAACAGGGTTCCCCTGCTGATCATCCAAGACTTTGAGCATAGGACTGCTGAGGCAGTGCTGGGCTCAGCCCCCTGCAATTATCCCCATGGGATGACCATGGGCACAGTCTCGACTGCTGAGCTTTCCTGTGGGCCTGCCCCTGCCTCTAAACCACATTTTTCCCCCACTCCTTATCCTTTCACCATGCAACCACAAACTTTGGGACAAGCACATTGAGAGTCCTAATCTCAGCTGGTTGTTTCAAAGCACTGTTGGAAAACCCCAGTGAGATTTGCAATTTCACCCTAGTTTATCAAATTCTTATTTCACAAACCACAATGACTGAAGCAGCCTCTTGGAGTAGCTACAATGACCGAATCAGTTGCAGGAGTTGATTTCCTTTGCCCGGGTTGATATGCTTTGGTTGAGAATTTGCTTTCAGGGCAAAAGTCTACTGAAGTCTGTTGATCAGTGCAAATCAGAATCCCAAGATTTTGACCCAAGGAAAACCCTCCATCTCAATGATGCATCTGAAAGGCAGATGCAGTGTTGCATGTCCGTGTACCCCTGCACACACACCACCACAGTAAGGTCCAGCCCTTATCCATGGGATCATTATTGCCCATAAATGGCAAAGTAGCTTGGAGTCAGAGGGCACAAATGAGGTTTGCAGGAATAGGTCGATAATTTATCCTGCTGTGCTTGCCAGCAACCCCCCTCCATCACATTAAAACATATACAGGAATAAACACTGATACACACTAGAAATCCATAGTGCTTAGTATTTACAGCTCAAAGAATACAAAGAAAAACTTAGCAGCAATGCCATGAAGCCAGTGTATCTTTAATGTAGGGAAATTGGACAGCAGGAAGCTCAGAAACTTGCAGAAGGTCACAGAGGCAGTAGCAATGCCAGGAATAGAAACCAGAGGTGAAATCCCGGCCTTGGAAAAGTCAGTGGGAAGCCTTCCCTGATCTCAGCAGAGGCAGAATTACACTCAGAGTGCTGTTTGCTATTCATTATCTGTCAGTATCTATTTACAGATAAAATCAATACAGACGTTGATTATAAATTATTGTGTTTTCTCTCAATTCTCTGAGCACAACTGCCTGAAGAACAGCCCCAGCGAGGCTTGTCAGGGTGCTGCGGATTCTGAAGGCAAGGCCGTGCTTTCTCCTCCCGTCTCCGGGGGAATTCGCTATGGATGGAGCTCTGTGCCGGGAGCCGAACCGGGCCCGTCACCGCCGCTCCGGGCCAATCCTCCTTCCCGGGGGGCTCCCGCGGTGCCGCCGCGGTTTGGCAGCGACACTGCCCGGTGCCGGCGCTGAGCTCCGCAGCGGGCGGCAGAGCCCGGCAGGCTCGGGGGGACAGCGGGGACAGCCCGGCGGCGGGGCGGGCACCGGCGCTACCGGGGGGAGCGACGCCGCCGCTGGGGTCGCGTACCGGGAGAAGCAACTCCTAGAACCGGCACGGCGGGGCTGCGGGGAACTTCTGCGGGGCCGCCCCCGCAGCCTGGGGACCCCGCCCGCTCCGCAGCCCGGCCCCGCGCTCCCCAGCCCCGCGCCCCCCGGCCCCGCGCCCCCCGGCCCCGCGCCCGGTCCTTACCTGGGGGGAGCGGCGGGGCCCCGCGGGGCGCCCGCTGGGCGTCATGGGGCGCCGGGGCCGGGGCCGGGGCCGCGGCGGCTCCCGCGCTGCCCGCGCTGCCTGCGGCGGCCCCGCCTCGCCCGGCCCGGCCCCGCCGCCCGTAAACAGGCGGCAACGTGACCGGAACTGGGGAGCTCCGCCGGGGAGGGCGGCCACGGGCACCGGGGAGAGACCCCCGCGCCGGGGACACTGCCCCGGGCCCGGGCCGGGGGAACTGCTGAAGGGGGAGCCGCATCGGGAACGGGCCGCCGCTCCCCGAGACCCTCGGTGAGGTGGGGGCGCCGCTCCCCGGGACCCTCGGTGAGGTGGGGGCGCCGCTCCCCGGACCCCTCGGGCCCCTCTCCCGCTTCTCAGGACCTTCGGTAGGGCTGGGTCCCGCTCCCCTGGACTGTCGGGACCCTGGTCTCAGGGACCTCCGGTGAGGCGGGGCTGCTGTCCCGGGGGACCCCCGTGTCTCCTCTCCCGGTCCCCAGGGACTCTCGTGTCCCCGCTCCCCGAGACCCAGCGGTCGCCGCTGCCCCGGCCCCGGGGGCGCCGCCGCTCCCGCCGCTGTCCGCGGTGCTGAAGCCTCGGCGGGCCCGCCCAGCCCCGGGCGCGGGGACCCCCCGAGCAGCCCCAGGGGACCAGAGCGGGGGGCTCGAGCTCTGCGGGGGAGGCAGCGGCGGTGTGTCCCTGTGGGGGCCGCAGCGTTACCGCCAGTCGGGGGGATGTGAGTCAAATGTGGGCCGCCTGCAGCCAGGACACCAGTGGGTTGAACCAGCAAAGCTGCGGTCATAGAGATAGCACAAAAAGGTTGTTTACTCATGTGGTAACTGATTCTTCATGCCTTTTGTTTGCGCTGACCAGACCAGCTGGGGCTCCACATTCAAAGATGACTCAATCCTCTGTGCCTCTCTGGTGGGGAAGCTGGGATGCGGTGGCCTGTTCCATGCCGCACGGCAGTGACGGCGCAGAGAAATGGTAGCGTCCTCCCCATCAGCTGACAGTCTGCTGATCCCCGTTCCCTTAAACCCAAATGTGCCACAGGGAGTGCAGTGTTCCTGCTCTGATGCTCAGCTGAGTTGTGCTGCCATCCTCACATTAAAACTACTGCAATTCTGCTTATGCCAGAGTGCAACCAGCACACAGAGGAGCTGTAGGGCAGGTGTCACTTGTCCCTCTCAGGGCAGTGTGCCAAGTTTAGGGTGTGTGGGTGTTTTTAATGTCGTGTTGTGTCTTCCCCTAACTTGGGTGATAACTTGAGTAGCAGTGAGCTACAGATGGGAGGAGGGGAGAGGGTTGTCTGAGTGCATCATGTTTTATGAGGTTTGAATGATTTTCATTGATTTTCCACTGGATAAAACAGTCAAGGTCGGGTACTCAGGGACAGAGAGCTGCTCTGTAAATGAGGTCATCGCTCCAGGATGCAGCCTGCCACGCCGGATGGCAGCAGAGCACCACGCATCCTCTGCACCCAGCATGGCACAGGATAATGTCAGCTACCTCCACAGCGACCACCTGGCAGATTGGGGTCAACCTGATGCACACACTCTGTTCATGTTTCCCATCACCAGTGCCACAGTTTCACGGGTAGCCAGGTTGCTACCTGGCTAGCCAGCTAGCCAGCAGCCAGGCTGATGCCTCCAGCCACTGTGATGTCCTGCACCGCAGTTATGCTGTGATCCTTCCCCACTCCCTTGCTCCGAGACAGGAGCTGCTTCTTGAACAGATCTGAGGTTGTTTGAGATCAACATAATGAGGCAAAAATGGCAGGAATGCCATTTCAGGAGGAATTGCGAGGTCCCTGCTTCCAGCCCAGGTACGTGACTGAGCTATGGAGGCTGTTGGGCAGAGCCAGTCAGCTCCTTGCCCATTGTATACCAGCTGGGAGACATCTCACTGCCATGTGCCTCACTGAGGGCGCTGGCAGCCCCTGCTCACGGTGACCCCGGCGTTCAGCAGTGTGGCAATGGGGACAGCAGACATGGGGGGACCCACTGTGCACCTCGGCCCCGTGTTCTGCTCCAGCGATGTGATTTGTCCCCTGGAGCGAGACTGGTGGAGATTGAGGGGATGCAGAATGTGGGAATGCAGGATGCAGGGATGTGAAGATGCAGGGATGTGAAGATGCAGGGATGTGAAGATGCAGGGATGTGAAGATGCAGGGTTGTGAAGATGCAGGGATGTGAAGATGCAGGGATGCAGACTGTGGGGATGTGGAATGTGGGGATCTGGGATGCGAGGACGTCAGGATGCGAGGATGTGTGGATGAGGGATGCGGGATGTGAGCACTGTGGGTGGGGCTGTGGGAGGCAGCTCTGCCAGAGGGGCTGGGCTCGGCCGCTGCAGCGACCGTCGCTCCGTGCCGGCACTGACCTCTAGTGGTACCGGCACCGGCACCGGCACCGGCGCAGACAGCGGTACCGACAGCGGGAAGGACAGCGGTGCCGGCACCGGCACCAGTGCGGGTAGCGCCCCTGCAGCCCTGGCTGGCACTGGGCACGGTCCCGTCGGGCTGCAGCCCCGGTGCTGCCGGGGCTTCCTGCTGGGGCTGAGCTGACCCCCCGCGCCTGGCGCTGGGCAGTCGGGAGGGCCGGGGCGGGGGTCGCGACCGTGCTGCCCTGCGGGGACAAGGTGTGCCGTGCACCACGGCCTCGCTCTGCCTTCAGAGGCCTCTGAGTCTCGCTCTGACACTGAGGTCTGGTGGATGCCGTCTTAGCCAAGATACCTGTCCCGGGAGGATGGGTAAGGACGGCAGAGATCCTGCTCGGCGCCGCAGTCAGTGGACAGAGACAGCCCCGGGGAGCACCTGGGGCTGCTCCTGCCCACACATCCCTCCTTCCTGGACTGCTGGAGGAGCTGAGGGATGGAGCTTCTGACTGCGAGTCTGGATGTGGCCAAGGTCCTGCGCTGGGTGAGCACAGATCCCCTCGGCAGTGACCGGATTCCTGGACCAAACAGCTGACTCCCAACAGGAATCATCCTGTGTGCACTGGAGTTAAACCTGAATCCTGCACCCTTCCGGACTGACAATGGGAGTGCTTTGAGATCAGAACGTCACCCTCCCTATCCCCGAGTTAATTATTAGGGGGATTTTTGCATTTAATTTAAAAATGAGTTTAACTTCGCCTCAAATACTGTTTTTCAGCCTAATTGAAACATAGTGTGTGTGTGTCTTTTAATTGCTTTGAAGAACCTAATAAGAGGCTCCTTTAAAGTCTAAAGGCTAAAAGCTGGAGGGTTTTAATAAATTTAACATTAGCTTAACATTTCCACAGGGACCGTAAAATATCTACTCATAAGGATATTTGCTTGAGCTAAGCAATGCAATTTGTCCCTCCACGTTAGCATGTATGTAATATGTGAACACTCCAATTTTTTATTTTTCTCATTATTTTAGAATTTCTTTTCAATTTTCAAATGTTTTATAATAAAAGTTGTTTTTACTTTTAAATCTCTGAGGTCTGCAGGGATCTTTGTGCTGAAGTAGGGGTGGGGCAGCTCCTGGGGTCCAGGGGCAGGAGGGTGAGTTTCAGCCTCCTCTCATTCCTCCCCCCATCCCATCACTGCTCCCCTGCCCATGACCTCCTGAAGTGTGGTACAGGGACTAGAGAAAGAAGCCAAGGCTGGAGTGAGGGTCAGTGAAGGGTCAGCCTTGGCTCTACCCTGCTGGGGGACAGCACAAGTGGTTGGAGCAGTGGGACCAGCTCAGTCGTTCCCCTGGGGCTCTCTCTGTGTGTACAAACACGATGCCAGCCCAGCTTTGGGGCTCTGCAGAGTGGGGCCTTGCCAAGCAGTGAGCCCTGTACTGCCTGCTCACCAAATATGATATACCAGTGATTTCCTGGCTACCATTTCAGCTGACACATCCAGCTGAGGGCCAAGGTGCTGGGCCCCTGTGGCAGAGCAGCTGCCAGCTGCCCATCTGGTGCATGGACATGGTCTGTCTGGGCAGGCTGTTCCCTCCAGCCTTTAGCCTGTAACTTATAGGAGGTGAGAGCCCCTCCAGAGGGCAGGTCACTGCCCAGATTCCAAAGACCCCCATCTGATTCCCTTTCTGTGGCCCAGGCAAGGCACAGCCTCTCCAGCTGACACAGCAAAGCACCCTCTGCTGCCCAGCTGCGAGAAGACACCAATGCTCTTCAGATGTGTTTGGACCCAAGGACTCCATAATTACCAGTAATAGGTATTTTCTTGAGTAATTAATGCCATTTAGTTTAAATGAAGTTGTTGGATTATGGATGCAGCACCCGGGTTTGCTGAGCTGTGAGTTAAGTTCTCAAAGACCAGAAAAGTGAGGATTTAGTACCAGAACACCACTTTTGAGAAACAGCTTTCAGTGTTAGTTGAAGCTCCTTGAAGGAACACTGGGGTCCTGATTTACTTCTTGAGCCCCTCACAGCACCCAGGGGCTCCTGGAGGGAACCTCTGGCTCAGGGTTCCTTTGAACCTATGGAAGAATAGATCTACCAAGTGAGTTGGATGGGTACTCACGGCGAGCAAGGACCGTGACAGAATCAGGGGGGGGGGCCCCACTTACCCCTGCACACTGGTTGTGAGGAGTGGAGTGAGTGGGGGGCTTGGGGAGGGCCAGGCTGGCGGGGGGCTCGTTTCAGGGTTTCTTTACCCCGGTGGCTGTTCCCGAGGTCCTTTGGGATGCTCGGTGCGGATTTGCCCTAAGCGTCTGAAAGGTAGGAAAACGAACGTTTCCCTGAAGCCCCGGACGGGATCCAGCTGGTCGGTGGGAGACTCCGGGGTCCGCAGAGGGGTACCGGGGGCGTTGTGTGCCCTTCCCGCCCCCGCAGCCGTCCCGGCCGTCCCTCGGGGCTGCCCTGGTGGGGGGCATTGCATAACGCTTTACATAAGCGGGCAGGGCGGTGCGGCCCCCCCGCACCTGCCCGGGGCCGAGGCCCCCCCTCCTGTCCCGGGTCCCCCCGGGCGCCAGAGGGGGCGGGAGCGCCGGAGCAGACGCAGCCGGCTCAGCCCGGGGCCGGTGCTGAGGAGCCGCCACGGCTCCGAGTGGGGTCTGCAGGGCCCCCCCTCCCCACCCCCCGCTCGGCGGGACCCCCGGGATGGCCTCGGGCAAAGCGGCAGGAGAGCGGCGCTGGGAGCTGGTGCGCTGGTGAGTGCGGCGGGGGGGCCCGGCACACTCGGGAAGGGGGACCCGAGCGGTTTGGGCTCTATCGTGGGGGGTGCTCCCAGCCCGGGAGAGGAGAGGAACCCTCGCGGGGGAGCCCTGAGTGGGGTTGGGGGGACACGGGACCTCTCCCCGGATCTCGGACACTGCAAGGGGCGCCGCGTGGTCCCGACTGTAGGGGGGTTGTCGTGGGCGCGGGGATTCCCGGCGGGGCGCCTGCTCCAGCTGGGGGGGGCGGACACGTTGGGGTGCAGGGAGAGGGCGGATCCGTGCTTGGAGGGGGATTGCTGGCATTTGGCGTCCTGCAGAGGCAGAAAAGAGTCGGATCCCAAAGACTTCCTGCACCTGGGAAAGGTTCCTGCCCGCGCAGAAGGAAGCGTGGAAGCGGCAGCGTGCCGGGGATGCCGGGGTCCCCCCACTCGGGGGGAGTCCCTGGGACACGCGTGGGGTGCTGAGGCTGCTCCGAGCTCTGGCGTGCAGTGATGGGGCTGGGAACAGGGCGCTGGCCGTGCCCGGAGCAACCGGGACGGGCTGACATTGGGAACAAGCTTTCTCTGTGTTCTTTTATGTTGAATTGTGCAGTTTGTGACGTCCGAAGCTTGTGACTTTTGAGCAGGGCGCTGCGGCGATGCCAAGCTGTGGCTGGGTGACTCCACAGGGATACTGATGGAAGCTCCGGGATGGGGCCCAGGCTGCTCCCAGCGGCTCTCGTGTGGGGTCAGAGCCTGAGCCAGGCCGGAGCTGGGTACCGGAGCCCCAGCTGTGGGTGGGAGCCCCGCAATCCCGGGAGAGTAGGCAGAGTGGGAGTCACTGAAGCTTTTTTTTTTTTTTTTTCCCCTCTCCCTTCTTCCCCCTCTGTGCAGAAAAAGACACTTTTTTTTTTTTTTTTTTTGCACACTTAGACCCAAACTGTTATAGTGGCTGCTTGGGCTGGCTGTTCTGCATCTCCACTGCCTCACCCCCCACTTCCCAGAGGACTCCCTGCCTCTGCTCTGTGCAGGGTTATCATATACCAGAGCTGCAGGGAGCACTGGGACTGCACCATGCTTGGTTGCTTTTACCAAGAAAATTGGCAGGTCACTCTGTGCTGGGGATGCTCAAGAAGCCTTTCCTTTAGCTGCAACAGGAGATCCAGGTTCCTCACCCCCTGCTCCACAGGACCCCCCAGTGCTGGGGTAGGCAGGGTGGGTTCAGGCAGGTGGAAGAGCAGCAGCAAGCGGCTCATCAGGGCTGCGTGGAGCTCATGGCACTGTGGTACATCCCCTTTGCCCCATCAAAGGGAATGGATGGATCCTTGTAATTAATGTTGGGAATGAAACTCCTGGAGCATCCACATGCAGAGGAGAGGACATGAGCTCGCCCTGGCCCTGGTTGAGGTTCATGGGCGCTGCAGCTGTGTGTGCGTGTCTCCAACCAGTACCACAGAGGCTTTCAATTATTAATTGCTTGCTGATGAAATTTCATGTTCAGAGCAGGGTGTGTGAAGTGCAGCTGGCTGCTGGGATGGAGGCAGGCAGCAGGATTTTATTCTAAAAGATGGGAACTGTGGTTACCAGGCTTTTGCTCACTTGACAGAGAATCTGTACTTCTTTAATTGAATTCATAACCATTGATTCATCACTTGAATATTACTTAATAAGCCTCAACATCTGGCCTGACATTTGAAATGATGCTAGAAAGGCATCATCTTGGCCTTGAAGCTAGTGCTGGCCTAGGGACAGGGCTGGGTGGGTATCGGGGGCAGGCTGTGACCCAGGATGACAGTGCTGTGCCTCTGTCCCCCGGGCCTTTACAGAGGAATATCCTGTGCTGCTTTGGAAATGTTTGCACATGGCAGTTACGGGTGCTCATGGGTTTGGCCCAGGGGTCCCCCAGTTGGTTTGGGGCTGTACAGGGGCTACAGCTGGCAGGGTCCCACAGATGCCCATCTAGAGGGTGCAGGGACCCCCTCTCTGGGGGTCACCTTCAAGGAATGCCCTGTCCCAGCCATGGCCATGTGCCTGTGGGAGGGTTGGTTGATGGGCAGTGGGGGACAGGGATGGTGCAGGGATGTAGGCAGACAGTCTGTAATGTCATTTTCTGCTTCCCCTGAAGAATGTGGTGGTGTTGGACCTGCAGGTCCGAGTGGCACTGCTGAGCCAGCCACTCCCTGAGTCCTGCCGCTCCCTCCCCGCAATCCAGCACTAATGAATATTTCAGTCTCTCTGGATGTTATTTTTAGGTACGTGCGAGAAGGCCGCTTTCGCATCGAGGAGAGGACGCTGACAGCTTTCCAGTGGCTCTACTCGCCCCACCAGCACCGCATCGTCAGCCGGGCGGACCTGGGCTCTCCCAGCAGGTAAGGGGGGCCAGTGGGTGCAGGGCTGGGGGGAGCACGGGCACATCACCTGCCAGTGCCGCTTGCTCTGTCACCAACCCTCATTATTTTGACATGGGCCACCTAAGCCCAGCCTGTCTGGGAGCCCTGGGACACCTGAACATCTTGGGCTTTGCTTTAAAATTAAATTCCAGGTGCAGTAGTTGTACCAGGAGCTGCAAACACCATGCACATGCCATTAGGTTTTTAAAGCAGTGGAAGGGACTGTCCACCCAAACTGTCCTTTTAAGTTCCCTGCGCTTTTGGTCAAGCACAAACTTGTTGAGGATCTGTTTTATGCATGCAGCACACTTCATATTTACTTAAAAACCAAATGGGAGCCAGGGCCCAGCCATCAGTGATCACTGGAAAATATATGTTCTGATATTTTGATTTTGTTCAATGCTTAAATTCTTCCCTTGGGAGCTGCATCCCAGGCATATGCTGTGGCTCTCCCTGCTGATACATATGCATCGCTGTCTGTTCCCATCCTGTGTTTGATGATAAAACACCATTAACATAAAAGCCTCATGGGCCTCCAGACACAGAGAGCACAGCGTCTGTTCTCTGGCCTGCAAAGAGCTCTGGAACATGCTGAGTCCCCAAGTGGCTGCCACACTAAAAGCTTTTCTCTCTCCATTTCAGCAGTAGTTTTGCTCCAAGAGC